AGTAAATTAGCCAGCATTAGACTGGGACTGGCTTAATAATGTAAACAAAGGAAACCTCGATCTTTAGTTCAAAGTAGGTCAATCTCTAGGCTAGCCTAGTAGTCTCATGGTTCCTTCCACTTGATGACAAACGCGTTCAGGAGCCATTCAGACGCTGCATAGGAAACGGTGACTTCACCTTTCAAAAAAATGCATTCAAAGATTACAAACGCGTTGATGAAGTGGCTGGACCTAATGTCACATGCAAAAGGACCCATTTAGAAAGCAGCTGTACGCGCAAATTCGGTATCACATCAAGCAGTGCAAGCAATATTAGTCGCCTTACCTTGACAGAGATGGCAATGTCAGTAAGTCTGTTAAGTGCGTTGACCTGGCCATGAACAAAAAGCAGCAGCTGGGGGCCAAAGCCACGACAGAGGGCGTCGAGAATGAGACTGAAACGAAGGCGGGCATCCGGATTGTCTAGTTGAGAGCGCAGATGCCAACACAACCGCACTCCAATCAGAGTGGGACAGCAGAGGGCGCGTTGTAGAAGGAAACAGGTAAGTGGATTCACCAAGAAGGCCTCAGTTCGTACCACCTGTGTGATGAACAAGAACGAGAGGTTCAAATCTTCGAAGGACTAAAAACTGCGCCCACCTTGTCGCAAATTTACGCTTTATCTGCCTCTACCTTCACGTATTCAGTCCTCCATCTAGTCATAACACAAAAAAGGGGAAATTTTCCAGACCACAGAGCTCGGTAAGGGGATAAAAGTATGATTTAAATAAGGTTTCTTCCTCTTTCGGCAATGATCAAATCATAAACAACAATGTTCTCCCTTATTTAAGAATTGTCAGAAGAAGTACGGTTAAAAAAAGGTGAATTTCAGACCAACGAAATGCGAAGAGCAACCCACCTCTGAGCTCTTAGAGGAGAGTAGGCTCAGTGAGTAGTCTAAACTCAGACAAAAAGCCCTACAGAATTAAAAGAAGGTGCATTATAGCAGAATGACTTTCTAGCGGATCCCTTTCTTTTCCCTTTCAATCAGTTGGCACTCAGCAAGTACTTTCAAAAATGGAGGATTCAAAAGAGAGCTAATGAATTCGAATTAGCCCGTTATTCCCCTTGGTGCACCGAGGCTTCTACAGCTAAAGTAACTAAACATGTTCATAAGGCCTAAACTTGAGAATATGATAGTCAACTCAGTTATGCAACATGAGCTAAATGAGCGGATGGCAGAAAGCGTCTAGTTGTACTACCTTTCCAACCACGATGCAAAAGTCACGCACAGTGACCTCGTCTTGTGGGTAGAACGACCTGAAATCAGCGCCTGCTGAATTAATATGCTCACCTGCACCAGCTGAAGCAGGTAGTCAGCCAGATCT